TCCATGTTCACTATTTGCACCACTGTGTATTATTTTCAATTTTTTTTTTCCATTTTTTATCACGGCTATATATAAAATAAATCTATAATCACGTGCCCCATGAAATGTGGAGAGACATAAAGCAGACGGTAACGTCTTTTCCAAGTAATGCACGCCATAATCGAGGAATTGTTTATGGTAATTCATATCACGGAGGAAAACAAGTTATTTCATATATCCTATGCAATTCAAACTATTTCTGTAATTCATTTCCTATTAATTGGAATCTTCCAAATATGACTAGATGTTTCCTCCTAAAATGTATCGGAAAAAAATGCGAAAGCGTGCAATGGATTCATCGCGAACAAAATATTGAAGCAAATGAACAACGGAAAATCTTTCCAGTATATCTTTGTAATATTAATTTCTAGCAGAACGCGATGATTAGGTGGGATGAAACCACACTTTCACCCACGTACATTCACAACCCTAAACTGTAATTAGGACATTTGCTCATTCCTATTTTTCAACTCACCAACTTTTGCACGCACGGACATCTGCACCAAACGAAAGATTTTTTCACCCCCGCTGCACATAAAAAAAGTTTTGCGAGTGAAAAGGATTCATTTTGGTCTTCGTGTTCATATATTTGAGTACCGTTATATTAAATCTTATTATTATTCTCCTTTTTTTTTTCTTTGAAATCACACAAAATGCTTTTGATTTTCTGTAATCTGTGCCCGGTATTTTTTGCAATAGGCTTGAACATCTGTGTTTCACAGCCGTGCCAGTTTTGCAATATTCATACAGATTATTATTTGCTCGTATTATTTTCATTCTTCAATGCACATGAGTCCTAAGCATATTTAGATGAATTTGATTGTCTATGTTGACCAATAACTGACATCTGGCAATTTTCACGAATACCGATCATCTTTCGTGTTTTTAGGAAGCGTACCTCTGCCACTAAATTCTGGTTACCTGAAACTATATTTTTTGTGTTTCATATTTTATTCAGCTAATATTTGGCGTGATGGTCATAAATAGAATAAATTGTTTGTAGCTGCGGAATAAACTGATGCACTGATGTCCATTGCTGCAAAATGATTAAAACTGCAAAGGTTGGATGGTATATTTCAGTATTTGAGATCGGGCTTTTGAAGTTTGATTTGATTACAATTAAATTTGGTGTCAAAACATTAAGGTCCTTAGAAATAGTAGAATCATCCCTCAGCGATGTCAGATATCTATCGTTTAATATTACTTTAAATCAGTGATCAGCTGGAAAAATCGTAACCGTCGGAACGCATCTAATTCGTGAGAATGTATTATATTTACAACACGTCCGCGGAAGCGTACAGAAGTTATGAAATATGAAAGAAAATATGAAGAAATTATCTGAAATATGAATGTGTAAAATAATAAATATATTCGAAGTAATTCAATTTTGAGTCAAAAATAACCTGCAAAGTTCTTATTAATGTTCAAAATAATCATTAAAAATATTATAATGGTAAAATATAGGAAGAATTTTTCCGGGGTCAAAGTTTGGAAGAAAGAACACCCTTTACACCAGAGGTCGGCAACGTGTTCTTTTCAGTGTGCCAATTTGTAAAATTCAAATGTCAAAATAAATGTCAAAATATACGTTTGCGTTCCGACGAAAATTTTGGTATATAAGCAGACCTGAGGACAATACAGATTGACGTTAAATTGCTTGGATAGTTTGCACCACCTAAAGTTTTTTGTTTAAATGTACTTTCAAGATAAATCATAAATACACAAAAATATTCACAATAATATTCCATTTTTAGGATCCCTGTCCTTGCCTTTCCTCACTAGTATCTTTATTATATTTGACTTGTAATTTTCTTAATAACAATTTTTCTTCAAAGTGATTAATAAATTTGTTTGAATGTTTCTTTTGTAGAGTCACAAATAGTACTTAGACAGCATAGCTCCTCCTGCATATTATCGTCAGAAAAATATCACTCGATGATCGTAAACGAGTAATATTATTGATATCCACTCTTTCTCTAGAGCGGTGGTTTTCAAAACAAATTAATTTCCAGCAAATATGAATTGTAGTTCTGGAATTAAAATAAAAATAATCGAGTCCTAATTCTTGAAAGAAATATGATTAATAGTTATGCTTCAGAGTCTTTATTGGCGAAGAATGTGTGAAGTTATTCGTTTTCCATTGTTGTTTCCGTTGTTCAACAGTCGCGTTCGCAAAGAGCCATAATAAATTATGTTGATCCTCTTCAGGTTAAAATTAAACCTTTTTATTACTTTCAAAAACATAAACGAGTCAGATTTTTTCTTCTTTTTCCCTCTTTGCTATTAAAGATATTTTTGTCAAATAAATATACTTTAGTTTGATTTATTTATATTTAGCTTCGAGCAAACCTTATCGGAATTTTCTCTGTGCTGTGGAAAACAAAATAAAAACCAGAATTTTACTTATTAATTCAACAACGTTTGATTATGCAATTACCTAGTCCTAATTAATACACTGAGTCGGCCGATAAAATAGGTACCTGTGACCCATGTTGTGCGGGCCATTCAGTTTCTAATTTTCTGATATATTTTCTCTCATTTCATTTTCTAATGATAAAGTGCGGACGGGAACGATGTTTCGATATTCAGAGAGTCAAAACGAGCCGTTGTTATGAAATCAAAAATAGATAAAATCAAAATGAAACTTGAATAGAATATTGCTGTTATTGCTGAGACAAAAAATGATACTCCGTTCATCTAATGAAAAAATCGCTTTTAAATTTTCCTTAGGTTGAAATTTATTTGTACTTAAATAAAACAATTTAAATCTTTAATATTGTGGCCGGTGATTTGAGATTGTATCTGACTATATGTCTTCAAGTATTAAAAAAAACTTGTTGAGATTTATCCATCTTTTTGAAAACATCTTGCACAATGATTAATTCGTATCATGAACCGGCAAATAAAAGTTTCAATTTATTTATTTATGTAAAAGTTCAATTGTCCTTCAGTACATCAAGTTTTGCAGAATTGAACGTATCAATGTTATTCTATGAGCAGCATAAGAAGGCAATTCACTGCAACATTCGTACCGATTCAAAAATATTAAAATCCATTATATTCATCCATCACATAAATTTTAGAAGGTAATTTAGCGAGACAAGATCAGGCCATTATTTTGGATAGAAAACACATATTTGAAAAATTTGTGATAAACGGGTGATATTGTATGCGTTTGTGTTTCCCACAATCGCTGTGATTTGTAATATTTGTTGTTGCCAATTTTTTCTGCCTATCAAACATAGTCACATACTGTTCATAATTGGTGCGGACGTTTTACAGGATAGGTTTTTCATATTTATATTTTTACCAATTTTTTTTTTTAAAACGTGGCGATTAATCCACAATCATATGAGATATTAGTAATGTTTCCTATGTTTTGGACACATTCTGGGTCTATGGATCGTGTTGCAGATTTATTATTACACGAGGACAAAGTGGACCCATGGATTGTTTTGTTGAATTGTTGTTGTTGATGTTAGTATTCTTCTTTATATTTTTGTGGTTGTTGTTATTATTGTAGTTGTGAAAACCCGCTTTTCTCTATAAATACTCGGCCAATTACTTTGAATTTTTTAGTGGTTAATCATTCTTTTTTCTCGCTAGAATGCTAATACTTTCATTTAAAAACATTCTGTGAGCTCTATGGGATTTGTTATACGTGATGAAGTCATTAAAATAAAAAATGGGCATGGCATTTTAGCGTTCTGCAGGTTAGCGAAGTCGGGAGTTTTTTGATATGAAAGCCTACCGGTACCATAAAAGATTTGTGCTGTAATACCAATGTGTTTGACCAAACACTTTCAAATGATCAGCTGTCAGAAATGAAAATTTCCTTCTTTTTCGTCTATTTTTCCAAATTTCATTTGAGCTCATTGATGGGAAATGAGTATGGTACATTTTATTTTGAGAAAGTCTTAAAAATTGTACTATTATCCGTATTTGTTGCTCAAATAAAGTGTCGTTTCAACTGTTTATTTCCTGGCATATAATTTAAAGATAACTACGTTTCATTTGCAAGTTGGCTATTTCAAGCCTTTCTTCAAAATATTAAAATTTAACCATCTCATTTATTATAACAACTTCGATAATTAATTCACTACAAAGTTAAAAAAAGTGGGACAAGGAAACTTGGTTATTTTGGTTCAGTTTCTAATGAGTTTTGGTTGTGAATAAAAATGGCCTTTTGCAGCTCATTTCGGGCCGAATACAGTTACAAACGCCGCAATAAATACTCGTGAGATACTCGTTAGATACTAAAATACTTTACATCAATAATCATTTCGTCATACAAAGTCAAGTAAAAAATCATAGATCCAATGCGGAATTCTGAAGGCAGATATACAGCCAATTGTAAATCACCAAAATGGGGAAATCGAAGCAAATTTATTTTCGCTTACCGCATTGCAGATTAGAAATAAAATATGGGTATGTGCTGCAACCTGAAAGTAAATACGAGGAAACGTTTTGCATGACCGAATGTCTTTTGCAGTATTGCATGCTGTACACAAAGTAAGAATCATTTATAGCTATAAGAATGGCAAAGCAAAAGAATGATTTATCATATCCTTTACAATTCTAGCTAACAACTATCCATTCCTTGTTTTCCAGTAATCAGGATAGATTCTACCGATTTCCCCTTTGTATTGTATTCACAACATTGGAAAAGGATGCAAATGTTTCATCGCTGCAATGAACAAAACAGTTTGTTATATTTTATACACATTGATATAAAGGCGCCTTCATCTCATGATTAGTGGCCATGCGCAATTTTTCTTCCGCCCGTGTTTGAAAATACGAATGGTATTTTCAGTTGAGCATTCACCCTTTTTCCTAGCATTTGGTAAATGAGGTTATAAAAGACATCGGTTCGGTTCATATCCAATATTGAAAAAGGATTCAGCTAGATTCCGGTCACATACTTGTCGGTATAGAAAAGTATTAGGCTTCATCGATAAACAATGTTGAGAATTGTTGTTTTGGTTATCTCATTATTTACTCTGGCAACTGATGGTGAGCAAAATCATTTATATATTTTGTATATGCAAATTATCTCTCATTTTATATAATCATATATACTATTATTTGTGGCTAAGTGGTAAATTTAGTCCCAAAATGTTTATTTTGTATAAAGTAATGAGTGTAAAACTGTTCTCAGCACTGTTTGTCAGTGGGAGTGCAAAACAAAACACGATTCTGAAAGCTCCATTTCAACTTCCCGTTTTCTTATGAGTTCTGAAAAAAACGCAATTTCCGATTCGCACACACTATTCCTTAACATTATGGTCTCGGGTTTGAGTGAGATTTATTCCACGAGTCTGCTTAAAGCAAGTTCTTGATTTTTTCAGCGTTTCTTGCACTACAGTTCTATTTATTTTACAGCCTTGCAACCAGCAGGATGCGAAAAGAGATTCCAGGATTTTAGAGGAAAGGTCTCCACTTTTGAATGCCCCGCTAATTGTGACATCGGAAATGTGTATGTTGTAGGTGGACCCACTGCTTTTCTACCGGAATCTCTTGTTTGTGCTGCTGCGATATACACTGCTGCAGCTCCAGGTGATACTGATAAGTTCATCTATTGTAGCTATAAAGTAAATACTTTGCGGGATTTTAGATTTATCTTTCTACAGAATTTCTTGAATTTGAACTCTTGATTCCTATAGAATTTTGGTATTGAAACACCGAATAAAAATAACTTTAGCTGCCCATAAATCAGCTGTATATGTAGTAAGTCGAAAACTGTAGAAAAATGTCATTTCCTACAATATTTTTTCTTCAGTATGTGTACGTTCCAGGTATAAAATTTATCACCCCAACTCGCAATCCATATCACCAGATAGCAAAGTTGAATAATTTATTCAAATGATTAAGTTAAGCTATGGCGTCAAAAATATGATGGTTGACGTTTTAATAATAGATGTTTATTGCACAACGACAATACTTGATTGAAAAATTTAATAAACAATATAGATAAAAGGTCGTGGCTCACCTCTCACCGCACCCTGCAGTGAGCTGTTCGAATTTCTCATATCTATAAAAGCCCTCCATTTTAGTAGCTGCTACCTTCTACAGAAATAATATATCATAATGAATAAATCACTCTAAATATTTTAACAGTTGCAGGAGGAGAAGTTGTTTTCCGAAAACTAACGTCGAACCCTGCTCCGACAATGACGTCGGCGACAGCTAACGGGGTTACTACGATAACCCCTGGCAGTGCACCAACAATCACCACCGAATTCTTTCAGTTTGAAAGTAAATAGTATGATTTATTTTTCATAGCATTTTTATTAAATATTTTTCTTACTTCGATAAGCAAAATTGAAGATGTTCCTTTGATGATAAAAATAAAATGGTTTTTGACATCTACTTGTATTTCAAATGTCTCAACCACGAAAAAAGAGCTCAGGAAAATATTTGGGCACATTTTACCTTTGTTTGATAACAACAAATATCATAAAAAATTGAAAAAAAAATTGATTAGAAAATATTCTTCCATTGTTGATACATACCACACGTATTTCTGGTTAAATAAAGATTTTGTATTTTGAATTATGCACGCAGACAACATAATGTTCAGCCCTATCCAGAGTTGATCTCCATTATATTACTTTTTAAATTATTTATGCGAGCAATAGACGAATTTTTATTACATGAAATAGCAATTCATCTGCGTATAAAACAGCGTCAATAAAAATCGGAGTATTCCCGAAGTATGTGAACTAAGATGGCGGACACCAGAACGTAGTATGTGTACCAGGTTAGGGTGAGACTATAATTTTATACCAATTTTCTTTATTTTAGTTGTATTACGAGTTCGGGGACTAGCCAAGTGACTCCCGTAGTATTTGTACCTGAAATTTTGGCCTAACCCTAACCTGGTACACATACTACGTTCCGGTATTCGCCATCTTGGTTCACATACTTCGGGAGTACCGAAATCGGTTTACTTTGCTATGCTTAAAGATATCTATCAACCATTAACTGCATTGTTGCCTCATACGGAATTATGATTCTGTAAGAATTACAAATTTGGGTAATCAATTTAAAAGTACATAGTGTAATTACTTGATCAGTCAAAACTGCCATTCGAAATACCAAACGCTGTCGATCTGATTTTATTGCAATTGTTCGAAAAAATATCCGGTCTATTGGTAGTTGTGCTCTCGTTTTCATCCGGATCCAACTTGTCATCAAAAAAATTCTGTTCTTCAAGTTTGTCGCTCGAACTTCCGAAATGCAATTTTTTTTTTCGTCGAACTGCTCGTATGTCAGCATAAGTTTGAATAGTAAAGCGTCAATCGCTATTCACCAAACAAGTGGCTATTAACATGTCGATGGTCGCATGCTACATTGCTATCGGTATTTTATTTTGAGGTGGAACAGGACTTGCTAATCTTTGAGGTAAATATGTGTGTGTTCTAAACCATATCATATATATTTACACATTATGATTAATCTTGAAGTAATAATTTGGCCTTGATGCCGAATATACAAAATGTAGCTCAAATATATATTATATTTCAAAACCTTTTTCCTTTAAAAGAGAGGCATACAGGAATTTACCTAGCACAATGCGCAAACGAACGCGCATGTCATATTTAAAAATGAAGAGACTAATCATTTGTACAATGACGTTAGCGTTGCTATGTTCGCTGTTGTAAGTCTTAGTTCCAATATACAATCGCTTTATCCATTGAAACTCTATCTCTGCCTTTTCTGACATTGGAATTCTTGATTTTATATACAAAAAAGCGTTATTAATATTCATGAATGATTTCGTCAAATAAAAACATTCTTTTATGTGCGAATTTTTGCAATCATCGTTGATCACGAAATGTAAATTTTTTCCATATTTATGTCAGTTTTTGTTCAAAAGATTAGTTTACACAGTTTGTGCTCTATATATCCTCAACATTAATATACTTGGTAGCAATCATGTGCTAGTCTGGGTGATGGATATTAGGTATATCTCTTATACAATGTTTTACGCCTGAATATATCAAAAGTTTAGGAGATCGCGAGAAAATGTGTTTTCTACTCAGTCGTAATAAAATTTATCAGTATCACTCGAAATTAACGAATAATTGAGATGAAAAATTATTTTATTTCTAGCGACCATTCCACTTGACTGTGCAGTTGCAGCAGAAGATATTGATCAGGAAGTTTTTGTATTTAACTGCCCATCTGGATGCGAAGGATTCGGTCCAACTACAACTGACGTTGTTTATGATGATACAGAAACAATATTTGCGGTTCAATCTCTCATTTGTGTGGCCGCAATTTTTGACAGTAAATTATCAGGTGAAAAATATATTTAAATATAGTCAATATTACCCAATAAAGTGACTTCGATTTTTTTCAATTTTATTTGTTTTATTCATATTTTTAACCAACGGCCAGTAGAATTCAATTAACACAGGCGAATAACAATCTGTGCAAATGTACGGATAATGTTCAATATGTCGTAACATATGATTTTTATGATGATTTGTCGCTCAAAAATTAATCCCAAGTTCAATGGCCAGTCAATTAAGACACAACTGAAATTTGAACAAAAAATTAAGTACAATTAGGTGCATGCTCAGCATATTTTATGTACAATGTTTGTCTTATAATAATGGCAACTGCTATTCCTCAATCAAATTATTCAATGTAATGTGTTAAGAACGGTTCCATTACATTTGAACCCACGTACATTTGAACCCATGACAATTGCACCTGTATGCTATTGCACCTATGGAATTTTTTTTGTTTCACGGATAGTTAAACCCATACTAACCCTAACCCATGGGTTTTAGCACCCGCATGTAGATTGAACCCGTGGATATACGCATGGGTTCAAATGTACATGGGTTCAAATTTACGGTCACCGTTAAGAACATGTTCGTGCTATTCAATGCTGCATGGCAAACATGTCGCAAATTACCATTTCAGTCTGCATTTTTGTTGACGGGAATTTATATGAACACTAGTTTGATAACAAAATATTTTTTTCAGCTGGAAGTGCCGGTGCCGTTGTTGTTCAGAAACAACAAGGAATCATAACATATGGCGACGCCACCGCCAGTAGCGGAATTGACCCAGAGCCTTTAACTACGTATGAATCTGCGTTTACATTTTCAAGTAAGGACAAAACTTGTGTGCATTTACGATTGTTATTTATTCTCAATTTTCTTATTAAATATAGATTCAGTTAGGTTCTTTTAGATTGGTGTGCTATGATGTGGTGATTATTAGAATGTCATTTTATTAATACTTGTGTCAACATGAAAACTATTAGGTGATTGTTGTAAGCAGAAAAACAAATTTATGTAGTCTAATTTACTACTATAAGGTGTAAAAAAGTTATTGCCAGATATATTTTGATTGGCGTTTTGACCTTTGACGTATGTTCGGTGTCTGGAAAAATTTAACAATTTTGAGATATATTACTGTGGAATGTGAAGGAACGCACCCTCTAGACATGCATGTTGCAACCATTAGGTAGGTACTATAACTTATAATGCCTACGAAATGCTTGCGACATAATTTATAGGTGATACAAACGGTGGTTGCGCATGTTGTGATATAATGATTTTGTAATTATTTTTGCACGATATCAGCTACAATACCTCCAGCTTGCTTACAAACCGTGTCAAGCCAATCAGATCCAATCTTCTTATTTACTTGCCCGACTGACTGCAGCCCGAACTTGGTTGATATCGTGGGAGACGGAATCTACAATGACGAAACACCAATATGCCTTGCAGCTATTCATGATGGACAGATAACCGGTAAGTTTTATCTAGTTTTTGATCATTACTAAAATTGCAGATATCAATTTTACGAGGTGTGAATATAAAAATAAATAATAGAAATCGTTCGAGTAGTCCACAAATAAAAATTTATTACATAATGAATTGTAAGGCACTGAGTAATCCAGTGACAACGTTCATACTCAATACACAGAACCCGTCTGATAGCTTACAAATTTATCCTACAAAAATCATTTTTAATGTATGAACGAAATATGCATATGTTTTATTCCAGCTGCTGGCGGAGGTGACGTAATTGTGAATAAACGACCAGGTCAGTCAGGATTTAGTGGAAGCACACGTAATGGTGTCACCAGTATCAGTGGAGGACCAGACGATGGTTTTGATTTTTCCGGTAAGTAACAGCAAACGTCTGTCTGCGTGGTGCATCGTCAACATGTTTCTATTTTTCATTTCGGTCAAATTTTCTTCATTAACCGTTATGTAGATTAGATTATGGAAAGAAATGCTAACACAGTAGGCGGGATAACTGCATTTTCAATAGAACACACAAATCATAATACGAGGTAATAATGCGATTGTATATATTCGATTGTTTCAATACTTGAATAGTCCATGAACTTTAAAATAATCGATTTGTTCCTTATTCGCGGACAATAGCGATGAATAATTTACTTCGAGTGGAACTTTGCTTAATTGTGTCTGTTTGTGCCAATAGTTACTGATGTTAAATATTTATAACAGTTGCTCTTTCTTTATACGTGTAGACTGCATCAACGGATCTCCTACAAGTGGTCCCCCGGTAGCTTGTACTTGCGATGCGACTTGGTTCGGAGATGAGTGTAATATAAGTGAGTATACTGCTTGCTAAGTTTGAATTATGAATGATATGCGCATGTGAAAAAGATATTTGCGCAAATATATCATCAAGCCTTCGGAAAAATATCAGATTCATTGAAACTTTTTTAGGATGGAAATATAATACGGTATATAGTCTGTCCAATACAAATATACTGCAATGTTCATATCAACTTAGTGGAAGATTGGGTTAATGTACTTTATATGTTTCGTCCATTGCTAGACCCAAATTGTTTTCATCAAACAAAACAAAGCTACGATGACGATGAGGAAAATTAGTTTAAAAACTCTACAAGGAACAATATTAATTAATTAAATCACCTATTGTCATTCAAGTAAAAGCAATATAAATTCCTAACCGAAACATTATTCATATTTCAGCTTTATATTTGCAAACACAATGTCTGGTAAATTTGTAATATATAGGTATAACAATATAAACGTAATTCAATTGACTATTTTGCAAATCAGGCATGTTGCATTTAAAACAATGTAACTTTCAAATGAACGTATTTTGTTGTACAGTGTGTGTTGAAGGAACTTACAATGCAGCGAGTAATCCGATGTGTACCTGCAATGCTGGATGGGTTGGACCTATGTGCAATTTCCGTAAGTTTTATATTTAAATTAAAATAATACTGTCTTATTAACTCCTGTAAATGTAAATTCAACATTATGAACATATTTTAAATTCGTTTTCTTCTCTGAGTTATTATTCACAAATAGTGAGAATTAGTGATTGTGTGGATGGAACTGGAAATGGTCAATGTGAAATAATGCCTTATCTTTTACATTTACAGCAATATGCTAAGTTCTGCTGGAGAAGACCGAAGAAATTATAATTATTTGATTCTGCTCATATATACATTAATATTACTTGTTTCGAATCTACAATAAGTTCAAATTGAAATATTCTTGTAATATTAGCGAGAACGTAGATTGAGAAAGTAATTTTGATCCCACATATAAACATATTTACATATATATATTTATATATATTTCTACCACCAGACACGATCTTACAAAGCGATGATTGTAATCTGGCGTAGTCTAGTTGTTTATCTGTTATCGGGCACCTGAAGTTCTTTAGTAGATTGCCGTATTCTCACTCACTCACACATTTGTGCTAATATTCTAATAGGGAGAAACTGTTTTCATGATATTTATGGGCACCGATTCGAATATCATGAATATTAATTTAGACTACATGCATTCGTTGTTTTTTTATTATTATCTATGTGATTCGCCGAAGTTCTGGCATAATAGAAGGTGGAAAATAGTAGCTTTGATACAAGCTGTACCATACGCAGTAAAATAAATACAGTACCTTTGTAAATCTAAAATAAAATCGCTGGAGAAGTTATGCGTTTAAGGATATACCAAATCATGCGTTCACCTATGCTCTATTTCAAGAATAAATCTAAGCCTATACGTTACTAATACCGGATTTTGCTATTCCTATATATATATATAAATATCATGCTATTCTAAAAATATTATTTTTTTGATCTTATTACCCTGTATATTAGGGTAAATAAAGGACTGTATTGAATAAAGGCTTGTATCTACTACGTGTGTGGTGTGGTGATATATATATATATATATATAGAGAGAGAGAGAGAAGCACTTCATAAACATAGTTACCAAGTTGATTGAACTACATTCTTATGTCGTGCTGAATATACGACTAGATTGAATATCCACCTCAACGATAGTAATTTGAGTTCGCTATTAGACCTCCCACTCGCCAGTTCTAATACTGCACATAGGTACGTCACTCGTGTATGAGACAAACCAATAACGAGCGATCATTAATTAAATAATTACAACATCTGTTAATATTATTAGATACTATTATCTGTTATGCCAATACCAGACCAATTGGGAACCAAATTGGGCTTTTAAAAGAGCAAACTGGAATAAATTCAGCCAACTTTCGAATACTTATATATATATCAGATGCAGTAATCTCTGAAGACGTTGAAGAGTTTTGTGACGAATTGACAAATTACTTGTTACGGTAGCTAGATCAGTGCTTTTCTACAGGGGTTCCCCGGAACCCTATGGTTCCGCAACACATGCAGTGGGGTTCCGTGAGTTTATAGGGTTCCTTGGGGGTTCCGCGTAAAGGAAAAAATGACTGCTGGGCCAGTAAAATTGCAAAAAATGATTATTCTTCTTTTCCATTTTTGGATGAATTTCTAAGTGCGCAACAGCAAGAAGGATTCCTAGATATCCGTAATGATATTAATTCTGAGGAAACCTTCGAAAAAAAATGGGAAGGAATATTTCTTTTCACAGTGAGGGTACAGCAATTGCAAAATTGCTTAAAACTTCTGTGTCAATTTCCCAATACCTATTTGTGTAAATCAGCATTTTCTGCTTTAACAACTATTAATAACAAAAACGAAGTTGTTTAAAGACATGGGTATGAGAATTGCTTTGAGCGCCGTGGAGCCACGATTCAAGAAGCTTGCAAAAAAATGCAAGAACAACCTAGTCATTGAATTTCACGCTTGTTACCTTCTTTCTGTTTTGTTGTTGAGGTGGAAATATTTGAATTACAAATATTTCGTGTTACGAGTATTTCGTGTTTTATTTTTGTTATTTGGGGTTCCATAAAAAACGAAAAATGATATCAGGGGTTCCGCGATAACAAAAAGGTTGAAGAGCACTGAGCTAGATTGTCTATCACAAAAACGAAATAATAAAAAAGCCAGCAACATCTAGTGGAATGAGGAATACTGCAAAGGTATAAGACTGAACTAGCTCCTGCGATAACTATTTCGCAAATTTTTTATAATCAGTTTGAAGAAAATGTCAAGTTGAAAGAAATGATACGGACAGCATTCTCGATGTTCCTTTTATCTAATGAGAGTTTGACAACGTTTTGCGACCGTGAAAGGTCCCATAAATGCAAACTAATACTCTTGCCATGTTTTATTATTGTTTGGGTACTCACTCTTATTGGCGCCACTCCGTCGTAGTTTCCATATTAAAATATAACAAACCAAATAATCATATATCATCATTCAGACCAATTTCGTTGATGTCTAACTTATGTAAGAAATTGGAACGATTAATTGCAAATCACCTCAAATGGTATTTTGAAAAGTTCAGTTTGATAACGACGAAACAATCTGGATTTAGACATCATCGCTCAACAACCGACAATATTCTGCGGATATATGGTGATTTCCATATAAAGCTTTGGCAAAATAAAAGATCGTTCTAGCCGTGTTTCTAGATATAGAAAATGCTTACGACATTGTCTGGCGTTGTGACCCATTTTACTAAGTGATAATATTGCGATATCTGGCCGATCTTTTATGTGAATTAAATCGCTTTTGCCCATTCGTACTTTTCAAGTCTGTATCGGTAATACACATCTCAGGTGATCGCATAATAGCAAGTTTTTACCCAATTTCCGAACTAGAAAAAATTCTTTATTCACATGTCAGAGAAAACTTGTCAAATAAGGATTTGAATCATATTCGACTTTTCGAGAATTCACAATTCGCTCCTTGATTCATCTCTATCGTCCCTGGAGAATATTGCCAACTTTGGAAACCACTGCAGCCTAGAGCAGTATTAAAATTATTCACCGACTAGCAAGGCAACAGCCTATTGCATTTTTACGTCGGCGGCCAGGTCTTAAGCGCGTCGTCCACCACTGGCAATTTTTTTTTTCTGAGAAAATGAACTTTTTTATTTGGCTAATCCTCAAAGCTCGAAACAATTGATAATAAAAACATCATTGACGAAAAAACTTTCAATTATTTCTCATACCTGCATTACACGTCAAATCTGTACTAATTATTAGTCTGTTGTGATGTTAAATAATTATGACGTAACAAAACGTATAAATCCAAGTTTATCGAAGAAAGTTAATTTTCCGTGTGTTTAACCGTTTGGTTTTGAATTATCAAGTAAACAAGGCTCATTGATATGATTATTAACAAGCAGTCGTGTTTTCAGGAAATCTTTTTTCGCGCTTTGTCTGTTTTGGGTGTTGTCCTCCAGTAACATCATACAAGTGGGCTGACTCGATTATATTGAATTGATAAGGATAATTTAACTAAACATTAATAAATCGCGAAATTACCTCAAAGAAGTTACAGATCAAACGAATATTTAAAGTGCTTAGTTGTTGCAACAAATTTTTCATTTCAATAACCCCGGAGGCATAATTTACTCAGATTTGGACTAAAAATAGACTTCAGGGTACCCGCCACAATAGTAAGATACAATTTTTTTTTATGTCAGAAACACACAATTTCTACCAAAGAAAAATTTAAAAGCGATTCGTTTATTTACATGAACGAAATATCAGTTTTTGTCTCAGCAATAACAGCAATATTTCCAATTCGTGTTATACTATTTTCGATTGCATGCAACGACTCGTTTCGACTCTCTGGATACCGTTCCCAGTGTGGCTGAATAACGCTCAAAAACAGCGTCACCTTGACATTAGAAAAGTCAATTATGTAGTTTGAAAAACATAATGAATGGCCCACGCAACATGGATATCATTTACTCTCTCATGGTTAAAATCACACTATTAATTGTGGCCAAAAGTTAGAAAATCTAGTCAGTAGATGTGTTTAGCAAATACCAAGCTAACTAACACAATGATCCATAACATTATGGACTTGGTTTTGGGTACGATTGATGACCATATAACAGTGGATATACGTTACATGTACATATTTCAGACTCTTATTATCGATGCGGACCCCTGTGTAGTCTTCACGGATAGATACAATACAAGTATACATAATTAAATTAGTTCGTTGTCGAACTAATTTGGCCTATGAGTTTGCTTGTCTGAAATTGATCTGTCACATTAATGTCGTTTGTGTTGTTGTGTTCTTAATCCAAATGGAACATTGTCCTTCCTCCTTGGTTGCGCACATAAACAGGTATAGATAGAATGAGGGTCAGTAAAAAATAAAATCCACAAACGGGGGTCCGCGGCCCAAAAAAGTTTCGGAACGTCTGGCTTAAGGCAAGGGGGTTGGTATCTTTATTATTCCAGATAGACCCTGCCTGCCATCAATCACTACCATGCACTTTTATTTTGATGTAAATACTGGGAATTATTTTTTATAGCATTTTTGTGAAATGTTGTTCTTACATGGATAAGAAATAATGAAGATATTCATTGAATAAAATACAAATGTTTCTTGACATCGACTTGTATGTCAAATGTCTCCAACAACAATGAACACAAGAAAATTTTCGTCCACCATTTTCTTTTTTTTGTTAACAACAAATATTATTACAAAATTAAAAAAATTGATTAGAAAATATTTTTCTATTGTTTATAAATAACCTAACACTTACTTCTGATAGGTGTTAAGTGAGTGTTAACTCACACTTTTGTCTGGTTGAATCAAGATTTTGTATTTTGAATTATGCACGCAAACAACATAATGTTCAGCCCTATCCAAAGTTTATCTTTATTACATTACATTTCAATTATTATTGAGGAAATATTAAAATTTAACCGTCTAATTTTTTATTAGAGCTTTGACTATCCATTCACTACAAAGTTAGCACAATTGTGAGAAGTCATGGGGAAATTAAAGCAAAGATATTTTCGCTTACCGCATCGCGCATTAGAAATAAAATATGGGCATGTACTGCAGCCTGAAAGTAAATACGAGGAAACGTTTTGCAAAACCGAAAGTTTTTTGCAGTATTGCATGCTGTGCACACAGAATCATTCACGAATACGAATGGCAAAGGAAACGAATGATTTCTCATATCCTTTACAATTCAATCTTACAATCTATTCTTCGTTTTCTCGTAATTAGGTTCTAGTCTACCGATTATGACTCGACATTTCCGCGTTCATTGTATCCACAACATTGGAAGGATGCAAAGCAAAGGTTTCATCACTACAATGATAAACAGTTTGTTATATTTTATACACATTGAGATGAGACCGTTTTCGTATCATGGTTAGTGGCCATGCGCAATTTCTCCTTCTGCCCGTGCTTGAAACTACAAAATGTTATTTTCAGTAAAGCCTTTTTTCTAGCATGCGGTAGGAGGAGTCTATAAAAGACATCGGTCCGGTTCATATCGAATATTGATAAAGAATTCAGCTGGATTCCGGTTAAAGACTGATAAGTATTCAAAAAGTATTAGGCTCCATCGACAAACAATGTTCATAATTGATATTTTGGTTATCTCATTATGTACTCTGGCAACTGATGGTGAGCAAAATCATTTATATATATTTTTTGTATATGCAAAGTATCTCCCATTGTATATGATCACATTATTATTTGTGGCCAAAATTTAACAAAAATTACCAAGTTATTCTGTAAGATGTGCTAAAAGCAAGTCCCAAACTGTTTTTTGGCAAAAAGTAATGAATGTAAACTATTCTCTCCGCAGTTTGTCAGTGGGAGAACAAAACACAAAACGATTCTGAAAGCTCCGTATTACCTGCCCACTCTTTTATGAGTTCTAAAAAAGTGCAATTACCGATCCGGCACGTATTTAGTCACACAATAATCACTAAAATTGTGGTCTCGGGTTTGAGTAAGATTGATTCCAAGTCTGCTTAAAAGGAAGGTGTTGATTTCTTCACGTTTTCTTACACTACAATTGTATATATTTTACAGCTTTGCAACCAGCAGGATGCGAAAAGAGATTCCAGGATTTTGGGGGACAAGTTTCCACTTTTGAATGCCCCGCAGGTTGTGACATCGGAACTGTGTATGTTGTAGGTGGGCCTGATCATTTCCAACCGGATTCTCTGGTTTGTGCTGCTGCGATACACGCTCTTGTACTGACAGGTGATACTGATAATTTCATATATTGTAGCTATGAAATAAATATTTTGCAGGATTTCAGATTGATATTTTCACAGAATTTCTTGAATTTGATTTTTCGATTCCTATAGAATTTTGGTATAGAAACACCGAATATAAAAATACCTTTATATAACATGCCATAAATCAGATGTATATGTAGTAAGTCAAAATCAGTAGAAAAATGTCGTCACGTCCTTCAATATTTCTTCTTTAGTATGTGTACGTTCTAAGCATATAATTTATCATCCCAGCTCTCAATTTTTATCACAGCGTAACAAATTTGAAAATTTTATTCAAATTGATTAGGTGAGCTATACCGTACTAAATATGATTGTTGTCATTTCAATAATAGATGTTTTGTATATCGCAATGGTTTGTACAACGCCTTGACTAATTAAGAAATTTGACAACGAATATAGCTAAATTTTGTGGTTCATTTCCCAACTCACTTTGCATATTACAATTTAGTGAGCTATTGGAGTTTCATATCTATAAATCCATACATGTTAATTGCTGCTACCTTCTACAAAAATAATATTTTATAATGAATTAATTATTCTCAAATATATATTGAAATGTTTAACAGGAACAGGAGGACAAGTTGTTTTCAGAGAACAAACGACAGCGTCTCCGTCAATGACGGGGGCGCTACGAGGCGGGGTTACTTCGCTAAACCCTGTCGATACACCAACATCCACCACCGTATTCTTCGCGTTTGAGGGTAAATAATGTTACTTTTTATAGCATTTTTTGTGAAATATTGTTCCTACGTCAATAAGCAATATTGAGGATATCCCTCTTATGAAAAAATAGGGAGTATTTTTAGCATCAAATTATGTGTCAAATTCCTCCACCAAAAGTCACAGAAAATTATTAGGGCTTCATTCACTATTGTTTGATAACAGCAAATATCATGGAGGATTAAAAAAATCGATTACAAAATAATCATGCTTTTGTTCATACATAACATACGCATTTCTGGTTAAATAAAAATTTTGTATTATGCACACAGACAAAATAATATGCAGCCCACTCCAAATTTCATTATCTCCATTTTTGATTATGTTTAGATTTATTGGTGACATGCGAGGAATGAGCGAATTTTTTGTCTGGTTGCCTCGAAATCGCAAAAGAAATTACATGAAATTGAAATTCACCTGCTTATAGATATCTAGCAACCATCAACTGCACTGTTTTATCGTACGGATTGTGATTTGTATTGATTACAAATTTGGTTAATCACTTGGTTGAAAGTACATAGTGAACTTGATTGGTCAAAACTGCCTTTCGTCAAAACTTCCATTCGAAATACAAACCGCTGTTGTTATGACTTGACAATTGTTCGAAAAAATATCCGACCTATCTATTAGTAGATATGCTCTCGTTTTTATCCTGATTAATCTTGTCATTGAATAAATTTCTACCCTACAAGTTTGTCACTCGAACTGCCGGATCGTAAAATTAATTTTCCTCTGACTGCTCTCTTGTCATCATTCGTTTGAATAGTTTCAAGTATTGCGTCAATTGCGATTTACTAAACAAGAGGCTACTAGCACGTCGATGGTTGCATGCTAATCTTATATCAGTATTTTAATTTGAGGCAGATCAAGACCTTGCTCTGAGATACATCAAACTAATATATTTTGTATATTGAAATACGATACAAGAGGCGCGTTTTTTGACTGCAGAAGTGTTATAATATGCCTTTTTTTGAAGTAAAAAAGTTCGCGTTTCGAAATATATCATAATATTATCCAAAATCAGTTTTAAAATGATAATCTGGCTTTGACGACAAATGTACGAAATGTAACCTAAAACTCCCCGCTAAATCTACGTTTTCTGCCATTGGAATTATTCATGAAAAGTATATACAAAATAACGGTAGTTATATTCATGAATGATTTCGTCAAATAAAAACATTCTTTTATGTGGGCATTTTTGCAATCATCGTTGAACACGGAATGTAAATTTTTTGCACAATTATGTCAGTTTTTGTTCAAATAATAAGTTTCGTTGAAACTAAGGCATCTTAGTACACATCAGTGTTTTTTCATTACGAGAAATAGAAATTGTATGCTTGATATTTCCTTTGATAAACGATAAAAAACTGAGATGCATTCTCATGTTCGATCAAGGAACAAAACCGACTGTTTACACCGTTTGTGCTCTAGAAATCCTCAATATTATTATACTTGGTAGGAATAATGTGGTAAAGTGATGGATATTAAGTATATCTTTTATATAACAAAAGATGACGAAAAATGTGTTCTCCACTCGGTCGTAACAAAATTTATCAGTATATATCACTCAGTATTGAAGAAAGATTGAGATGAAAATCCTTTTTTTCTAGGTTCGGTTCCATCTGATTGTGCAGTTGCAGCAGAAGATATTGATCAGGAAGTTTTTGTATTTAACTGCCCATCTGACTGCGAAAAAAACTCTGACATATTAACTGACGTTGTTTTTGATGATGCAACTTCAATATTTGCGGTTCAATCGCTCATTTGTCTTGCTGCAATTTATGACGGAACATTAACAAGTAAAAAATATATTCAAATAAAGTCAATATTGCGCAATAAAGTGAGACCAATCTTTTTCAATTTTACATGTTTTATTCATATTTTTAAATCAACGGCCAGTAGAATCCAATTCACACAGGCAGGTTACCTGCATGGGGTTCTCTATGTAGGCCTATGAAAATAAATAATTACAATCTTTGCAAAGCTGTGGCCGTAACATATGATTTTTTATGATGATTTTTTTCTCAAAAATTGACAATGTTTGTTTTATAGAAAGAGCAACTGCTACTCCCGAATCAAATCACTCAGTGTTATGAGCTGAAGAACATTTTCGCGTTATTCACTGCTCTTTAGCAGTAATGGCTCATATTCCCCTATTTCATATTTTCATTCTGCATCTTGTTGAAGGAAATTTATACAAACGCTGGTTAACAAATTATTTTTACAGTTGGAAGTGTAGGTGCTGTTGTTGTTCAAAAACAACAAGGGATTTTATCATATATCGACGCCACAGCTGCTAATGGAGTTGACCCCGGACCGTTAAATACGTATGACCCTGCGTTTACATTTTCAAGTAAGGACTAGCGTTGTTTGCATGTCCGATTTTTTATGACTAATTGTCTTATTTATTAAAGGAGCAGTAAGTTTCGTTTAAATTGGTGTGCTATAATGTGGTTATTAGTAGAATGGCATTTTACCTATATTTGTCAGCATGAAAACTCTTCGGTGAATGTTGTAAGCAGAAAAGCAAATCTATGTAATTCACCACTATTATGTGTAAAAAAATTCATTATTAAGATATATATTTTGAGTGGTGTTTGACTTATGACGTATGTACGGTGTCTGAAAAAATCCAACACGTTTGAGATATATTACTGTGGACTATAAAGAAGCGCACGCTCTAAACATGCATGCTGCAACCATTACGTAGGCACCATTAGAGATACAAACGGTGGTTGCGCATGATATAATGCTTTTGTAGTTATTAATTTTACATTTTTTCGATATCAGCTACAATACTGCCAGATTGCTTACAAACCGTGTCAAGCCAATCATCAATCTTCTTATTTACTTGCCCGACTGTCTGCACCCGAACTTGGTTGATATTGTGGGAGACGGAATTACAATGACGAAACACCAATATGCCTTGCAGCTATCATGATGGACAGATAACCGGTAAGTCTCATCTTGTTTTGGATCATTACAAAATTGGAGAAAATCAATTTTACAAAGTGCGAATATAAAAATAAATAATAAAAATTGTTCGAGTAGTTCACAAAAAAAAAAGATTTAATACATAATGAATTGTAAAGCACTGAGTAATCATGTGACAACGGTCACAATCAATACACAGAACCCGTTTTATAGCTTACAAATTTATCATACAAAATCATTTCTAATGTATGAACGAAATATATGCATATGTTTTATTCCAGCTGCTGGCGGAGGTGACGTAATTGTGAATAAACGTCCAGGTCAATCAGGATTTAGTGGAAGCACACGTAATGGTGTCACCAGTATCAGTGGAGGACCAGACGATGGTTTTGATTTTTCCGGTAAGTAACAGCAAACATCTGTACGCTGGGTGCATTGTCAACACGTTTCTCTTTTCATTTTGGTCAAATTTTCTTCATTAACCGTTATGTAGATTAGCTTTTTATTTCGATCAAATTTTCTTCATTAACCGTTATGTAAATTAGATTATCGAAAGAAATGCTAACACAGTAGATGGGATAACTGCATTTTCAATACAACACACAAATCATAATACGAAGTAATATTGCGATTGTATATATTCGATTGTTTCAATACTTGAAGAGTCCATGAACTTTAAAGAGTCGATTGGTTCTTTATTCGCGGACAATAGCGATGAATAACTTAGCCTACTTCGAGTGAAACTTTGCTTAATTGTGTCTGTTTGTGCCAATAGTTACTGATGTTAAATATTAGTAACAGTTGCTCTTTATACGTGTGTAGACTGCATCAACGGATCTCCTACAAGTGGTCCGGTAGAGTGTACTTGCGATGCGACTTGGTTCGAAGATGCGTGTAATATAAGTGAGTAAACTGCTTGCTAAGTTTGAATTATGAATGGCATGCGCATGTGAAAAAGATATTTGTGCAAATATATCATCAAGCATTCGGAAAAATATAGATTCATTGAAGTTCTTTTAGGATGGAAATATAATACGGTATATAGTCTGTCCGATACAAATATACTGCAATGTTCATATCAACTTAGTGGAAGATTGGGTTGAGGTACTTTATATGTTCTGTCCATTCATTGCTAGACCCGAATTGTTTTCATCAAACAAAACAAAGCTACGATGGCGATGATGATAATAAGTTTAAAAACCTTACAAGAAACAATATTAATTAATTTAATCACCTCTTGTCATTGAAGTGAAGGCAATATAAATTCCTAATCAAATCATTATCCATATTTCAGCTTTATATTTGCAAACACAATGCCTGGTAAATTTACAGTATAGATATAACAATATAAACGTAATTCAATTGACTCTTTTACAAATCAGTCATGTTGACTTTACAATAATGTAACTTTCAAATGAACGTATTTTGTTGCACAGTGTGTGTTGAAGGAACTTACGATGCAGCGAATAATCCAGCATGTACCTGCAATTCTGGATGGGTTGGACCTATGTGCAATTTCCGTAGTTTTATATTTAAATTGTACTGTCTTATAAACAAGTAAATGTATATTCAACGATATAAACACATTTCAAATTCGTTTTCTTCTAGCTGTTATTATTCATTATTAGTTATAATTTGTGATTGTGTGGATGTAAATTGAAATGGTCAATGTTTAATGCCTTATCCTTTACATTTACAGCATCGTGTTAAGCTCTACTGAGGACGACTGAAGAAATTATAACTTTTAGCTATATACACATTAATATTACTTGTTTCAAATCCACTATAAGTTCGAATTAGAAGATCCTCGAAATATTTTCGAGAACGTAGATTGAGAAAGTAAATCTATAATTATTACATATCTACCATCAGATACGATATCACAAAGCGATAATTATTCTTTATTTGCAGACACCTGGAGTTTTTCAGTAGATTACACGTTTCTGTCAATATTCTGTTATGGACAAACTGTTTTCATGATATTTATGGGCACAAATTTGAAGATCACGAGTTTGAATTTAAACTACATACATTCGTTGTTTTTTTCCTATTATCTGTGTGGTAAATTGTGATTCACCGAAGTTCTGTCAAAATAGAAGGTGTGAAATAGTAGCTTTAATACAAGCTTACATAAGGGGGGATAAGTTATGAGTTTGAAGATCTACCAAATAAATCCATTACTGCATTTTCCTATACTCTTTTTCAAGAATAAATCTAAGCTTGTACCTTGCTAATACCAGATTTTGGTATTTCCTATATATATATAAATTATGCTATTCTATCAATATTATTTTATTGATTTTCCTACCCTATATATTAGGGTAAATATAGAACTGTATTAAAGGCTTGTATCTACAACGTGTGTGGTGAATTTGATATATATATATACAGGGAAGCACTTTATAAAAAACTATAAAAATAATTTGTTTGTGTGGTGCGATATCACAACCTACGCAAGACACAAATGCGTATATCGATATAAAAAGGGCTTATATCTAGAATTTCCTCCGACCAGAAGAAGTACGCTAAGATAATAAAGGATGTTGTTCACCGTACGATTACAACTTGGTATATTCATATTGAAGATAAATAAAACACAACCGGTGTTAGCACAACGATGTAATTTGCCGACGTTTCGAATTTCTATTCAGGAAAATTCCACCATGGCATGATATGGAAAGCACACTATCGTATATATATATAGCGCAGAGAAAAGAAAAAAAAAGGGAAAATTGTCACGGCGTGAAAATTAAAAAAAAAGAGGATAAAATGATAATAGATCTGAGAATTAGCGCATTATGGGGACTATCTAAACAAGTTCTGCAGTTGATCCCAATTTATATATATATATATATATCATGGAACTTTTCTATAACCTCATCTACTATGGTGATTATGCAAAAATAACTATATATTATATAGCTCATCGCAAATATTCAAACTTATAAATTGTCTTAGCTGTGTGTATAGCTTTGCGCAGATATAAGTTTCAGCGCACCCGTCGATGTTCTTTAGATTCTGGTATGTTCCATTGAAATCTCATATCTCCACAGATGTCGCGCGCTTTGATGTTCGTGCGTACTATGATAGAGATATAGTGTTTTCCTGAAGTGGCTATCATTCTAGTATCCTGCTATTTTCCAATCAATGTTGTGATCTGTAGAAAGGGCATGTTTCGAGAGAGCCGACTTTTCAGATTCATTTTGTTCAACATCTTGCTAGTCCTCTCGAAACATGTCCTTTGCACAGATCGCAACCTTGATAATATATAACAGGGGTGGCCAGCACGTCGATCGCGATCGACCGGTCGATCGCCACGTCTCGAGCAGTCGATCGCGTCTGATGTCGAGTGAATTTTATTAAAATACCGCCAAACAGTGCCTCGAACCAGTTGTATGTTCACAACAGGAAGATTACAGTACTTTACATCTGGGCAACCCCGATAAAGCATATTATTACGTATCAAACGCAAGTTTTTCCGCTGCCAATGTTCAAAAATGAAGTGCGTAGACCAGCGTTTCCCAAACTTTTTTGGCCACGGAACACTTACGCTTTTTATCTCGCCTCGCGGAACACCAAAAAATGAGAAGGTAAAATTAATAAAAAAAAAACGGTGTAATGCAGCGGTTCCCAAAGGGTGCGCTCAGCGCTGGATTAACCATTAAACAATATGAGCACGTGCTCAGGGCACCAAGCAAAGAGGGGCACCATAGAAATTTTTATAGCATAATTTTCAATGGTGTTTATTAAAATATTACGAGTTCATCAGACGACTCAGACTTCAGAATGTTCGCCTTTCGCTTCGAGTATTATATTAATTTTCTTTTTTTGAAAATAAACACTGAAGCTTTTTTATTGGACACCAAATGGACCTATGAGTCGTTTTCCTAAACTGTTGTTGTTCATCCTAATATTTTCCTTGTCGCATTTTTGCTTTCAAAAATTTCGTTTCAAGTATTGGCCGTAGAACTAGGCTATTTCTTTTATTTGTTTTAAAAATGAGCTTCATGGGATTGATTCGTTTTCACTCGTAAGTTTCGTGTGGCGACATCATCAAATTAAAAATATCGCACTATGTCGCGATTCCGCTATTTCAACAATCTGATCTAGGGTCAGCGAAGTCGGGAGATTTTTGATAAGGTAGGCCAAAGTGGTCCAATTGTTGAAATCACGTAATTTCAATGCTGTATCTATAAACGTCAAGACGATATCAATATGGGAATGGCGTCCTGTGAGCTGTGATCGGTACAAGGAGAATGAATTGTCTTTTGCAGATAAGACCAAGCCGGTTAGATGAGTCACGCTTCTCATCTCAACTCGCACCTTAAGCTCGCGACAGGTCTTATTTGAGGAGACTTAATGCATTTATTTCAGTAAAAACACTCCTCCATTTTCAAACGTGAGCCATGTGACAGTAGTAACAAAACGCAGAGTTGACTTAGCGCACAATCCATTATTTTCAACTAGGTCCCGAAATCCCAACTTAGACAGACTTGGTTGTTATTTGACGTAAATGAAATGAGTGTCAAAAAAATGTGGCAGAGGAAAACTGTTAGGAAAGGTACTTCCTTGCCCACCACAACGATAAACCACGGTGTCTGGTTTAGTTTGACAAAATCAAACTCGAGATACGGAAAATACAACGGTAATTTTCGGTAATTAATTTTAAAATAACTAAACGCTTCATATATATATCTTCTTTATAAGAACACCACCCATGCAACATAATAATAGGCTTAAATTTAAAGTGAGTAAACTCGCGGTATTTCGATCACTTTTGGGTTTTCTCCGACTGCGAGACCTCCACAAAAGTTTTTGCTTTCCTGCAACCTCGCAAGCTTGAATCACCATAACGTAGACTACATAGGTACCGTTAAAATTGTAAACGACAGTTGTGACTTGAATCCTTTTGGTATTTCGAATCACGTTGAAACTGGACGCATGAATCTTCATCGTCACACTCCCCCAGAATTAGCTCAACCGATATTTCCCCTATATTGCGTGTTTGCGGATATATCATATTGGCAGTAAACGGCCGATATATATCTGTTATATATGACAGTTAAAAAACTTGATGTTCGTGAAAGTTGTTTTATTCACTGTTGGTTGTGATTATTTTTAATGGATAATACACTTATGTGGTTTATTGTTTTTATATTTCGATTTACACATAAGGGGACACTAAAGTCTTCAGTGCTTAGGGCACCATAGGGGCATAATCCGCCCCTGGGTGCGGTACTAGTGCGCCGTAGCGAGTTACCAAATGCGCCACGAAAACAAACAGAATTGTGTTCAACATAACTAAAATATGATTGAATATTATCTTACATATTGCATTTATCATAAAGGTTTTATTGCTTCTTATTTCAAATGATGTGTATATTAATCAATAAATTCATTTTATCTTTCTATGTCGTTTACTTCCTACTACCGACGTGGGGGCCCATAATGTTACGTAAGATTGGAAATAGAAGTATTTGTTGCAATATAGCGAGCTGCGGTTTATTTATCTGTTGAATCGACTTTGGCGAACATGAGTAATCTTTTCAGCATTTCAATTAAGTCGTAATCATTATAATCCATAGTTACACAATGCACATTTGCTACAACATAATAATCGAGTCAATAATTACTGGTTACTGAATGGGGCTGGGCATATATTGAACTATTATATATAATATCAATTTACTATTTGAAAATTTGGTAAAGAGTGACGCGACAAGTCACTTGCGCGTCGCTTAATGAAACGATTGGTTTCACAAACTCACTAGCGGATTTCCGACGAAAACACGAGTCTGCACTTGCTTCGATAGACACCTAAGTGGTGTTTCTCGCGAGTTTGAACGAGGAATAATTTTTTTTTTCCGATGCCCAAATTTTCTAAATTGAAAAGCCGCAATACAAAATACTAAAAATAAAACGGAGCACCGTAAGTTTTGTTTCATGATGGTCCGCGACCGATTAAAAACGCTTTTTTAGACATTGCAAATCGCAAAATTTCGGGTGCTACCGTAGTATACGTACCAGGGCCCTTAAGATTCTTTGCCGTACTGCCTCCTCATTGATAGGTACAGTACTGGAGCGCCGTAAGTGTTGTACAAACAGCTCAGATTTGTCGAATTCACAAAAATACGAATCAAAACAAAATATAATCGGGCACTTTACCACGTATTATTGTGTCCACGGATTGACATGATATTTAGCAGTGCTTTTATTTCGTCAACACAACCGCAGATTAAAATGATCACAATTAAATTAATAATAAAGCAAGGCGATGAATATGTATTTTTGATTTACTAATATACTTTAAATATATTTTTAATAGGTACTAAATCAAGTTGTACTTTCTGGAAATAGTAGATAGTAGGATTTTTCTAACGGCGATACCAAATTCGCAAAAAATATGTATCAAAACTAAACACGAGAATATCGGTCGGTCGGACACCGAAGACTTATCGATCGAAAGTTAGGGGATCCCCCAGAACTGAAACTGAGGTTTCGATTCATCCGCTCTTACTCCATAGTGACACCGTGTGTCCCATCACTAATTAATTAATACCTCGCTAATTATACGACATAATTCATTCAAAATCAATAGGCTTCTGGTCCGAGATATGATGAATGCACATGCAAAATTTGGAGCAGATTAAACTCGCTTTTGTGAGATATCGCGTGTATCTTACAGACAAACAGGCAGACAAACAAAAAAACGAGATTATCGGTCGACGACCGAAGACTTATCGATC